AAATGCTTAAAAAATTGTGACTGTGTATTGCCTATGTAGTAAGGATTGTATTAAATTTTCAAGCTTTTTGACTCTGAAAATATTATTGATATTTATAAAAAAAAAAACTAAAAAAAATAGAAACTGTATATGACCGTAAACAGTACAAAGCAAGTCAAAATATTATCGTGTATAGAAAATGCTAATATAAACATTCAGTGAAAACGTTATGCGTACCTATCTACGGTAATTTGTTTAAGAGTTAACCAAAATTCCCGTTTTTCCTTAATTTTTGTTTTGTTTTTTCCTGAAATTCTGAAAACTATATTGTAAATTTTAAATTTTGACCTTCTGAATGCACCAACTACATTCATTTTCCCATCGAACAAGATAATGTTGAAGAAAATCAAAGCAGTATGTTACTGCCTCAAACGGTGATGATAGATACAAAAAAAAATACACATCATTGTATAGTTGTATGAGTATTGTCGTATGTGTAAATAAAATAAAAATATTAACACATGACCCGATAAAACTTCATAACCCTTGGTATATATTTCACAATATTTATTTATTTTTGTGATTTCACTTACGTTCGATTTTGCATGGTCGGTCTTAAAAAAGCTAGTATGTATATCAGCATAATATATATGTACAGCTTAGATTTTGTTGCCGCTTGCCCAGATTTACGACGGAAACTATCTTTTATAGATTTCCATTTTTTTTTTGTAATTCAGCTACTATAAAAATAATAAATAAAAATTGAAAAATAAAATTATATATATAATCATTTTGACATTTTATATAATTTATTATATAAAGTTTATATTTATTTATATTATCTCATCATTAAAATATAGTTTTAATATGCAATGTGTATTTAATTATTCAGGTATTTGGCAACTGGAAATAATTTTTCTGCTCTCCATTTTGATTTCCTAATGGGCGTGTCAACTTTTTCAAAAATTGTACGTGAGACATGTAAAGTATTGTGGACAATTCTTCAGCCCAAAGAAATGGTAGTGCCGACAATGCAAGATTGGTTAGACTAGCAGAGGGGTTTCGTAGTAAAACTCAATTCCCAAACTGTGTAGGGGCCGTAGACGGCAAACACATCCGACTAGAATGCCCCCTAAAAGTGGTACTTTATATTATAACTATAAGCATTTCTTCTCCATAATACTCATGGCAAAACTATTGCTTCTCGATATAGATGGTGGGGTACTATGGCAAGGAGAGTGATGAAACATTTAAATAAATCGTCATTTGGGAAAAAACTGATACAATGATAAGTTCAATTTTCCCCAACCTCAATGTTTACCAGACGTTGATGGTGGTATATTTCCTCAACCCTACGTAATAGTAGGCGACGAAGCGTTGTGCTTTCATAAACACCTGTACGAACCTTTGCCCGGAAGAAGCTTAAACAATGAACGGCGTATATTTAATTATCGTTTATCAAGGGCAAGACAGGATATAGAATGTACTTTCGGTATTTCGTCTAACAAATGGAGGGGTCCATACGGCCTTATTAGTAGAACCAGACTTTGGAGTGCTATTACCACAAGCGTGCTGTGTTTTGCACAATTTCGTTAGACGCAGAGATGGATTCACAGAATTGTAATATGGTGGATGCAAATGAAAAAATAGGGGTTGGAACTCGACATCTATTGCAAAAGACGTAAGAGACTATTTTGTCGTTTATTTTAATCAACCGATTGACGATTCATATAACTAAGTTGGCAAAACAAGGTGATGGGTACCTAATTAGCGTGTGCGAAAAGGAAATGCATAAGTAGGTAACTAAAATATAAAATATTATATATTACGTATTACGTAGGTATATTAAATATTGTATATTTGTATACCTAAAATATTCTCATATATTTAAAATTATAATTTATATATTTTTTTTTTTTTTTTTTTATTAATTATCCCGCGGCAACATAGGCTATTGGGAGGGGGGTGGTACTGAAGGTTTTGGACGGTAGGTGTGTTACACGTGGGTGTATTTTTGGCAGAATTTCGAATGGGGCACCCGTAGGTTTCTGCCATGCCCCGGAGTGGGGGATGGCGGCACTTGTTCTCCGGACACCGTGACTTGCCCGGAGAAAAATGCCGCCCGGTGGTCGAGAATCGAGACCGCTCGGCCACCTCATCCTCCTATATATATTTGTTATCGAGTTATAACGAGTTATAAGTACCTAATGGATATTGTGATATGATTAATCTGGAATTTATTATTGGTAATAGGTCAATTTTTTTTAAAACCATAGATATGTATATAATATGTCTTATAAATAGACTGACATACCGACTCCGCTCAGAATCGTTTTCCTTGTACAATAATATTTTACCATTGAATTCAAATTTAATACCATCCACTATACAGTGACCCATTTGTAACCTACTCGGGCTACTGTACAGCAGAGCACCTTTTTATGATTTGTATTATCATATTTTAATATATAAATGTAGTATATATAAAAATGCTCACTTTTATTCATTTTGACGGTTTCTTCGTAGTCTTCAGAGTTTATGAAACATCTTTTAGCCACCTTTGTCCAACTCGATGTTTGACATTTTTGTCATGTTATAGTTAACTTTCTGTAATTTTTTTATTTAATAATAATTATATATTATTGTGTAATAACTTGATGTATACCTAAATGATTAGGTACTTACCTATATTCCATATTGCCTCTTCATTTTGAGATTGTTGTTTTGTTAGTTAGTTATAAGTTACCTATAACTTATAATTTGTGATTTGTCCGGTGGTTACTAGTTACTACAAACTACTACATGTTGAAGGGACAAACTATGAATGGACGTAAATAAACGCGAACGATAGCAGCGTTCGAATCGCCCGTGTGTTATCAAAAATAGAAAAGCATTGAAAATGTATTGGAAACATTTGTAGAAACTTATTGGAGTATGAACTGTTAAATTTTCAAACTTTTTCACCCGAAAACAAAATTTATATCATTTATAAAACCATAGAGGTAGGTACTATTACAAAATGATCCTAAATATTTTGAAAATGATTTAATGTCTTATGTCCGTTATATTGAAATCTTGTTGAAAATTTCAATTATCTAGCTATTTATTTTTGAGTACCTAACAAAAAACAACATCAATTTATGATTGCATACAAATTCCCGTTTTTTTCTAAATTTTTTATTTAGTTTTTCCCGGTTATTTTGATAAGTAGGTACCTTCTGTATATTATTTTCCTTTGACTTTCCATATTAGCCCCTAGATCCAATTTACTGCCAGAAACCACACTTTAAATTTAAAATCACTACACATTTTAACTACTCCAAAGACCAAAATGTGATGACAGACATTTTTTGAAATATTTTATACATAATTATTTTTATTCAGTAGTTTTTAAGCTAAGACATTTATATGATGATATCATGTATTTAAATCTAATAACAAATAGATACTTTACAATGCTGTTGGAAATAGATATTATATGAAAACCGATTATTATAAGATCAATGACTGCACGTCTATACTGAATTATGTACTCTACAAAATTAAGACAGAAAGCAAAACAAAATGTTGACAACATTTTCTACAAACAATATAAATATATAATATAATATAAAAACTAGTTTGTGAGCATACTAATTAATACTCAGAATACAACAAACACAAACCGAAATTTCTGGCGAAAAATCTGAAACTTCTAAAACCATCAATCATATTTTAATGAAAAAGAAATATCTTAAAATAATAGAAATTCCAAATAAATCATTGTTTTGTTCAGTAAAAAAATATAAATATAAAATATTTTTTAAGTTTTAAACAAAATAAAAATCATTGAAATCAAATATATTATTTAAATTTATGAATTTATAAAATTTAAGAATGTATTGGATTATGCAAAATTATAATTTTTAGATATATTTAATAATAATAAAATTAAAAATTGTAATTTTTGTATAAATATGCTACCTTTTTGTTTACTTAAATAAATATTATATTACCTACTAATAACAGGTTTATATAAAATACTGAGTCAACATTATATTATTACAGTACAATCTATTAATTTTAAAATTATATAATACTTCAATACCATAGGAAAATGGTTTATATTGTAATAATTAAAATATACAATTATAATTTGTTTTCAAATTTGTAATGGATTTTAAAATTCAAATACATTTTTAGTTTTTAATTACTTTTAAGTGCAACATAAAATATACCGTATAATCCAATTTAAAATGTTATATCAATTATAAAAAAAAGATACAGTTTTTAAATTTAAATTTATATTACCATTAATATTGAGTGAAAAATTATGTTCTAATACTTTCACATAAAAAGCTTTCTGAAAGCAACAAGTAAACAAGAGATTTATAATATGAGTTACCTTTAGGCATAAAATATAATAACATCTTACAACATAAAAAATAATATTATATTTGCTTAATTTTTTAACTACTATCATAAAGTCATACCTAATCATAGATAAAATAAAATATAAAATTATTATAAGGTATACAAAGTTAAGTATATTTGATACTGTGTACAAGTATTAACCCAACTCCACATTGTCAACAATGTTTTTTTTTGTTATGTGGTTTTTATTATTTTATAATTAATTAATTTTTGTTTTTTATTACATACATTTTGCTGAGTCAGTTGTTATTGACAAGAATTATACATGTATATATAAATCACTATTGTGACGAAAATAAACGACAATAAAAAATTGGTTTCACAATAATAGTATAGTCATATAAATACACAAATTCACAGAGCCTATGGTTAAAAGAGAAGCAATTTTCACCAATAATTGTGCATTCATATAATGATATATTATGTTATATATATAATTTACATTAATGCAACTAGTGTATCAATAAATAATTTTTTTCTTTGATACAACACCATAATTATAAATTTATAAAAACTTGAGTGAAAATTGCTACTTATTTAGTAAACAATTGGAAATCAGTATCCAAAATAGGGAAAACTCAAAGTAAAAATAAATTATGTCAGAAGAATTAGAGTTTTCGAAGATCCAATACAAATACCTGCAAAAAATAAAATAAAAAATCATTCCAAACACTTGCAAGCTCAATTGTTTTAACTTCTAGTATATATTAGTTGTTTTTAACAATACCAAGATAGTTCAGATTTTATAAATAAGTAACTCTACATCATTAAAAATTATAATTTCTGACAAAACCGTAAATACTATACTCACACTTCCATCAGATGCACTTGCCCCAACTTTGTCACCCCTAGAATTCCAGCAAACTTCAAAAATACCACCTGTTCCTTTATAACTATGAACTAATTGACCACTCTGAAATAAAAATAGCAGAATTATTATTTTATCCAAGAACAAAATGGAAGTTGACTGTTTTTTAATATTTTTATTATTATTTCTGATATTTTTATATAAATAATAAATATTTACTTGTGTTGACCATATGTGAACACATTTATCAAAACTGCCAGATGCCAAAAACTTTCCATCGGGTGAGAAGGCTACACTGTAGACAGGTTCAGTATGCTTGGTCAGAGTATGTATGCATGCACCTCGCTCAACATCCCACAAACGTACAGTTGAATCAAATGATGCACTAGTAATATTTATAATAAATTATTAACGGCCTTGTTAAGACAGAAATATATTATTGCACTTACCTAGCTAGTATTAGATTCATGTTTGGATTGGCGGTTCCTGGACCGGTTGGACTCCATTTTATTGTATATATTTCTTTGTTATGTGCTTGTAAATCATGCACACAAGTATCTTGTTTCATAGACCATATCTTCAAAGTCATGTCATCTGAACAAGAAGCTAATAGATTTCCTTGAGGATCCCATTTAATAGCATTAACTTCATTCTAAAATGTATTTCAATAAATTATAAAGTAACTCAATATTTTTAGTTCTTAAAGGGAAAAAAATATGGTGTTGTCTCTGACTTACAAGTGCGTACCATAACAAATTTATACTCAAAAGATCACGTTTAGCTCCATTAGTTTAAAAATTAAATGAATCAACCTATTACAAAACTTGATGGTAAGAATATTATCTTAGGTTAGAATATTGGCTTTTTACGATAATTCAGTTTTTAAGCGAGTTATGAGCATTTTTCATTTACGCTATATTATATATGCATAACTTTGAAAAATTACAAAATTAAACTATTGTAAAAACGAACGTACAAACACAGATATGTTCTTACCATCAAGTTGCATAATAATTCGATTGACTTGAATGTTTAAACTAAAGGAGGTAAAAGTGATTTCTGAGCGTGAATTTGTTATATTACTCACTTGTTGGAGACAACACATGCAGGTTTGGCTAGTAAACCCAAGGTTTAAAAACCTATACAGAATATCACCGGGTAGAATTCCCTTAAATAATAACTTACTGTATGCCCTTGGAATGATTTTACTGGTCGATCAACGCCTAGACGACAAACATGTATACATTGATCAGTACTACATGATGCAAAACTACTATTCGATTGCCAATCTACATCCAATGCTGGTGCTGTATGGAATGCAAATTGCTGATTGCACTGGCCTGAAGCAGCATCCCAAATAATAGTAGTCTAATGTAAACAAACAAAAAATCATGAATCAAAAGTAGAATGGAAAAAAAATAATATTATTTACCTTATCAACTCCGGCACTGAGTATATAATTCCCTCTTTTATTCCATTTCAAAGCAAATATTGGACCCTTATGTTGACCAAGAGTGCTTGATATTCTGCCATCTGTCATCCAAATTCGAGCATAACCATCATAGGAACCAGTGGCTAATAATGTTCCATCACACTAAACATAAATAATAACTATAGGTAAAAAAAAAAATAATTACTTAAAATGTAGAAAATAAGTTACATACATTCCAATCAAGGGAAGTAACATCTTTATTACTGGGTACTTCAGTTCCTCCTTTTTGAATACAATGTCTCAATATAAGTTGAGAAGGAGAACCCGAACTGTCAGCCATATCCCAAATACGCGCTGTACTATCTCCTGATCTATAAATTAAAATTAAAAAATATTAAATGCTAAATGACCCTTGGACTTAGGTTTTAAGTATATCTAGTACTTATTGATGAATATATACGTGAATTTATCATCAGGTACCTACCTCACAATTTAAAATTGTTAAGTAATACATAATAATGTAATAAAAGGTGTTTGAATTATATAATTACCCAGAAGCAAGTAAATCAGTGGTCGGATTCCACGCACAAATAAAAACTTCAGACTCATGACCCTTAAGAATAGTAGATTTTTCAGCAGGTATTTCAATACTGCTATCTAGTTCCATTGTTTCAGTGCTAGTAACAGCTGGGGTAACTGTTGCTGTGCCTTCTTCACCATTTGTTTCTTGTGCATCATTCTTGACGACACTTTGTTTTTGTTGATTTTGACTCTGTCGACTGGCTACAATTTCCGGCATAACTGCATCAATCAAAGATAAACTCTCAGTCAGACGCTGTTCTGATCCGTCTTCTCCAACGCATATCTCAGCTTCGGTGTAGTGCAGACCCTTTTGAATGATACTAATCAAAGCAGCTGGTGGAACCAAAGCTCCATTGATGTTGGACTGAGATATGTGCGATTCAATACCAAACGTATATGCCGAATGTTGAAAGCCTAAACGAAATATGCATTTAATTCTAATGTAGACCAAAAAACAATTAAGGGTTATTGCACTCACCAGATTCTTGTAGGTATCGGTAAACGAGGAAATTCAATTCGTCACTCGAAAAAGCCATAGTTTGAATAACTTAATTATTTAAAACGTACGAAAGCTAAGCATACTCTTGGATAATAATAATAAATAATGAATATAAAAAACTTAATGCTAAGAACTAAGCCCTAAGGAAATTCGATGGAAACCTAAGTTCAGTGTTTACGAATCAGCATTCAACGCGACTGGCGAATGCACTACCGCTAAAAAAAAAACCCGAGATAAACAAAAACTGTATATCCTCTTTGGAATATTCTTATCGTATTTTATGATAAAAAAAGATTATCATATCAGAATCGTACTTTCGAATACGGCGCGGTCACTGAGGTAGTGAGGTCTGAGATAGATTATATTGTATGTAATATTATCCATCTCAATTCTCATTTCTCAGTGGCACGGTTTTAGAATATTTTATTATATGTTATTATATTATATTTATCATTTATTCATATTTCATTTATCGGCACATGAATATTATTAATTCCAATAACACCTAATAAATATTACCTATGTGGCTATTTATTTATTAAATATAAGGTGCATAAATGGATAATTGGTCACAGCCGTGGGGAGGGGGGGGATCTTGACATTTTTACCTTATCCATTTGCGTAAACACTAAACACACATTTTCAGACATTTCAACCAACTAGCACAGAATAATTATTCTATACAATTATTCTATGCTACTAACATAGAAACGAGATAACTAGCCTACTAGATAGTGGCGTATTTAGGAACTTTTCATGGAGAGGTCCAGCTAATTTTCTAAACACATTTAAGTGGGGCTCTGCCCTCCGCACCCCCCCACCACAGTATTACACTGTAATAGAAATTCAATTTATTACAATGCATTAACACAGCATTTTTAGTTTTAACTTCAGACGCTCATAAAAAATTATCGTGTATTAATTTCCACTAACAACAGCTTATGAGTTATGAGAACTATTTTATTACCTTTTCAAGTTGTATAACCGAATTTTTATCAACGATACCTAATTCTAAAAAAAAAAAATTAATAAGACTCGTAAATTTAATATGCCTATAAATAGCTCAAAAAGAATAGCAATGTTTTGAAAATATTATGGTGCATCGTGCATAGGAATTGATAATATCAATATTCAGTGAAAATGGCATGCATCTACGGTTATATTTTTTTTAAAGTTACAAATACTTACAATAAAACACAAAATCGATATTTTTGAAAACTGCAGGTTGAGTAAAAATCTCAGTTTTTCGTTAATTTTTATTTGTTTTTTTCTGACGCCTTTGCAAACCATTACGGAATATTTTACCTTTGACCATCAAAGTACCAACTAAATTCACTTTCCTACCAGAAAAGATGCTGCTGAAGTAAATCAAAGCATTTTTACTGTCCAAAAAGGTGATAGACACTAATAAAAATTTTAATAAATTAATAAAAAATAACCCTGCACATCATTGTAAAATCACTACATTCAACACTTTGCTTAGAATCTAAAATGTTATGACTCATGCCTCATGGCTAATGTATATTTATTTTTTGGTGCTCTAATATTGGTTCACTCAGGGGCGGACTGGGCCGGCGGGATACCGGGAACTTTCCCGGTGGGCCACTGCTCAAAAATAATTTGTTATTATTATTTATTTATAATAAAATCAGTAGGTAGGTATAAATATAAATTATAAATATTTTGTATTTTCATATCATAACGGTTGAGTGTGAAAAATTGTTTATATTATATTAATTGGTGTATAAGATTTTAGATTTCGGTTCAGCTGATTGACCAGCCCTTCGGCATCAATGCATAATCACAAATTATTATTTATAACTAGGGTGTGAATTTAAATATAAATTGTATTTTTCTCTACATTTTCTTAAACATTGCTTTCCAATCAAAAAAATGTATTTCATACATAAAATAATTTAAAAATGAAATTTTTATTTAGCATTTTTTAACTTTATTGATTTTTAGAACATTTTTATGGTTTGAAGGGATTTTTGGTAAATTTTATAAGTATAAATACAATTTTATAAACACTATTGCTTAAATTGATTCAATAAGTTCAGTATAATTAAAAATCATTTTTTTTTACTAATATTTCTATTTTATTACGTCTTATGTTTACTCCTATGACTTCAGTTAGGTATACAAAACAATACTTGCCAATAATAACTGTCAAAGTTTTTTATTTTAAAATATTAGTTAGCTTCTGACTGACCAGTGATATAATGAAATACAAAATTTAACGACTATACCTATTTAAGTTCTACCTATTTCATTTTATTTTAAATTGGCTTTTAATTTTTCTGGGCATTTTATTAAGCTTTGTAATATTGTAACTAGTGCATAAAATCGTATTTTAAGGCATTTTTCTTGTTTTTTTATTGTATTTATATCCATGCCCTATTTATAACTTAATATGACTTTATTAAACCAATCGATTAATATATCCACTTCTAGCCAGCCAGTATTCACTTAATTATATTACCTAATACTTAATATTAAATTGTACACAATAAAAAACATAATATAATAATAATTACATAATAAAAAAATATAAAAAATAATTTGTGATAATTTAATTAAATAAGCTGATAACTAAAAGGTACAGTTCCGTAAGTTCAATGTAACGTTCTTAATTCATAAAAGTGAAATTTTGAACTTTTTTTATTTTATTGTAGTGTATTGTTTGATGATTTTGTAATATTTACTTATCTATTTGTTGTTTAAAATGAAAACTAAAAGAAAGTGTGGGGTTCAGAAAATCATAGAGAGAGAGAGAGAGAGAGAGAGAAAGGATACTCTTAGAAATATCAAGTTAAAACTTAAAGTAGTAAGAACGACCTATGTTTTTCATCCACAGAAAGTGATACATTATACTATGCAGTATGTAATTAAGATAAAATACTAAACACATAGAGAATCTAAAGTTGTCTCCTGAGAAAATTGAAGATGAGTAGAGGATGCAACCCTCATTTGTTAAAACTTTGGTACCATATTTAATTCTTACATTTAGTGATGACGAAATGGTGAGGGCTGGTCAAAATATAGATTTCCCGGGCTGAATAGTTGCCCCAGTCCGCCCCTGGGTTCACTCATTAAACCACTGTGAATTACATAACATAGTGCTATGGTGAGGTTAACAATTACAAGGAATACACAGAACTTAATAAAACTTATAATATAGGATAATATGAATATCACAATACCTTTAGTGAGTAACAATTTCAGTTTTTTTAGGGACCATAGAATATTCCTGTGTGGGAATCGTATTCGCGTAAGTACCAATATATCTAATTACGTAAGAATTTTGTAAAACCAGCATACATGTCAATAGATGACTAGATTAGTTCATTTAAAATTCATTACTGGTTCGTTCGCATAATAATAATATAACTGTTTAGTATATAATTATTTTTGCTCCTTTTTCTAATTGCTAATATTTTCAACAATTGTTTATGGTCACTAACTGCACTATCTTTTTCCAAACAAGCAAATTGGTTGAGAAAGCGCTTTCAGCCATAATTGTTGTGCATCTTTTTATGAAGGAAATGGTGAGATACAATATGAGTTATATTTTATGATATTTATGACATTATGACAGAGACAACAACAAATAAAATATATATTAATTAAATCTAAACCAAATATTTAATTGTGACTATTTCTAATTATTGCGCAATGATTCCAAATTAATTTCTGACCATAATTTTACCATAAATTTAGAAATTCACAACTTCTGTGTACCTACATAATGTGGTTGCCGTTGTTGGTAAATACTCTATCGTCATTACTTATTAACATTTTACATGTACTCGTTAAATTGTCTATGACGTTTTTTTTTATCTCTAACGATATACATATTCAGTGCCTATATTATAGTTTTTGTTTTTATTTATTGATCAATTTGCTTCAACAATAAAGGGTAATAGCCTATAAAAGCATTTACCTTTTTTTTTTTTTAATTACATCTATTTCTTTAATTGTTAAATTTATCTATTGGCTATTACTTTATTATATTAGTTTATATAGTTCTAATTTTCTAAATGTTTTAATGTATTATTGTGTACACATCAGGTGACAGGTATTATCTTAATCATCGATACATTTCACAGCGATTGAGCGATGTGATTATTTAGTGTTCGTTGGAAAGTTATAGATCGATTTTTTCCAGAATTAATTGTTTTTAAAACAGCGGTACACTTTTTGTTTTCACACCGCCACTTTTCTTCGCAAGACTTTAAGAGTATTTACTTGTAGAACTTAAAGCTATTTAAGTTAATCAAAACTTTCCCACGTTTGCAGATTATTTCGATTAATGTATCCATCTTGAAATCAACGGACGAACTAAAATATGTGCCTTCGAAAATATTTTATCGAATGCATTCGTTTCACCATATGAGGTATATATTATCTGAAGTTGCCGAGATGTCGTTTACATAAGACAGTAGAAAGTTGATATGTTTATGTGCAAAAATATTTGTAATCTGTTCATTTTACTATCGGTGAAGTTTAAGTGTTTACAGGTCAAAAATTAGTACCGGTAGAGTGTACATTTTTTTCAGGTAAAAATAAAGTTTCACTGGAATTTACATGTCATAAATCCAACCCAATCGACTAGGTACCTGAAAATCTGTGAAATTTACAGTCAGCCGTTATTACATATTACTTATTACTTGTAATTTACAAAAAGTTTATTCAATTGAAAAACTCTCGAGTAAAAATTACTTAACAGTTACCAGCTTTTTTTAATTTTGGGCACAATTTGTATTAAAGTTTTATTTTTTGGCGGGATTAGTATATAATTTTTCGATCTTTAACATTAATGTTGGTTTCTGGTAGAAAATTGGAATTAGTTGGTATATTTGGAATTTTGAAATGTTAAAAGTGAAAATATACAGATAGGTATACACACAGTAAGTACTTTACAAAAGAATCTGAGAAAATTGTTTACGCAACACAAGATTTCAACATAATCAATTTTGTTTTTTGTCGTAGTTCAAGAGTGATTAATGTAAATTAATTGTAGAGACTTGAATTTTT